ATTTATGTAAGTGAGGATAGCAAAATAAAGTAAACTGTGACAAATTATACCCAACATTTCTTCATACAGTGGACTACCAGTAAAACCGATTCTTCAGACCGAGTCTGGAAGAACATTGAAGTTGAGGTTTGCATGAAGCTGGATGACAGCATGCTCAGGAGACTACAGGCTGTCATTAAGGCTAAGGTTTGCCCGACTAAGTATTGATAGTTGTGTAAATACTATCATACTAACAGCTGTCTAATTTGTGGTTGATTGTAATCCATTACATACCTTTCTATCAAAGTTATCTAACATTATCAAGCTGAGTATCGGTATCGGGCAAGTACTGGAAAAAGTGGTATCGGTGCATCCCTAATATATATATATATATATATATATATATATATATATACACAACAACAAAAAACAAAACAGTAATACAGTGAATATTATTATAATTTACAATTTAAAATAAGTGTCACATTATCTTCAGAAATTGTTCTAATATGCTGATTTGCTGCAGTTTTTGATCAATAGAAAGTTCAAAAGAACAGCATTTATTTGAAATAGAAATCATCTGTAACATTATAAGTGTCTTTACTGTCACTTTGATTAATTTAATCGTATAACATTTCTCACAAAAATCTAAATTATTCTTAACTTTTGATCGGTAGTGCTCATGCTGGACGAAGCCCATTATCTAGGTCTGTAAGACCAACTAGTGCGATTTCAGTCAAACTAAAGCTGTGAAAATTTCTTGGGACACCACAATGGTCGTGATATGACACAAAAAGAAATAATAATACATACAAAATGTAAATATATATACAACCTATGTGTATTGATCTTCTATTGGTCACAGGTCTTAACATGAAACTAATTCACAGATCAGTACTTTGGAGCTTGTGTTGCCGTTTTCCCAGATTTACATATGTATGAATAGAAATCAATGGAACATAAGTGTAGTGTGACCGCATTTACATGACATTTTAAAAAGACAATATTATTGTTTCAGTCAGTTTGAAATCAAACTTTTAAAGCACATAAAACAAACAAACAAACATGGTCATTGAATCAAAATCTGTATGCCCAAAATCACCTTACCCCTGAAACAATGAGTTCTCCTCCCAGGTTCTGAACCTCAGCCTTGACCTTGCTGCAGATGTTGAGCTGGTGGCAGTAGAGGGCGATTCTCTGGAGGTACGCCAATAAGTCCTGCTTACAGGCTGAGTCTGGGCACTAAAAGAGATGGGAATACATGACAGACACTTGACCTTTACATATTCACTGGCTAGAGCAAATATGAGGTGAGGAGGGTGAAGCAACGATGACTGAAGATGAAATTAGTTCCATCTTGAAGATGACTCAGAGGTTTGTCATTATCACATATTGGCTAAAGTAGGCTCATTTGTAAATCTCCTGCTATTATCATGATTGCTTATTTTGTTAATAGGAACACTGTACACATAAATATAAAGCACAACATTAAACAAGCACAATGAAATGGAAAGTACTTCTCATCCCTGAGGGTTCGAGGAAACATTTTATAATGAACACCAGCCCATATTACAGTAAATAAATTGGCCTTATTTTCCTTTAAATGTTATGAAGCCAGTGGGGAGAGATGCATGGACTGTTTCTGATGTCATGACACAGCGATTGCTTATCTCATGAATATTTATTAGGTCGTGATTATATGTTGTTGTGTAACCTTCCTGCAGTCACAAACTACTTAAATATTCATGAGCCAGGACTTTGGCATAATCGAACTGGTAACGTGTACAGACTTTGCATTGAGATCAGACCAGTTTTACATTATTTGCCTTTATTTATATAATTTAACTGACTTTCATTGTTTTGATAACCATTTGTAAGCACACACATCCTAAATTTGTTAGCATATGCCCATCCTCCAAATATATCTCTGGAAATTGGATCTGTTGTGTTTTTTCTTCTTTAACACATCAAAACTGTAATGTGAAGAATACAATATCAAATGAATTTGTCAATAAGAAAATGGTTGTTCATTCTGTGTAGTGCATTTACATGTACACTTGACACTTTTTCTGGCTCCCATTCGAAACAATAGATGAGCACTTTCAATTTAATGTCAAGACTTTTTGGAAAAATAATAATTTTGCACATACAGCACCTTGCATGCCAAGACAAGATTACCGCTTTGACACACTTCTAACACAGTGGTTAACTCAGCGACTTTGCATAAAGTAATAAGTCCTGTCAGAAGTTGTTAAATAGTTGGCTCCAATTTTTTCTCCCTTAGCGTCACATGAACTTTGAGTGAAAAAGACTGATGAGACACATTTAATAACTGTTGAAGCTGCTTTATCTTTGACACGGCTGAGCAGCTGTAACGTCCTTAGTGTTTAGCGATCGAGTGTCTCTCTTCAGGAGGCAACCTCTCGCTGTGCCGGAGGATGACAACGGGGAAATGGAGAAATATAGAACCCTCTTTTTTCACCTCCAGGGCCCAGCAGCTTTAGGTCTGCTGTGTCAAGTGCAGCAGTTACAGGAGCTGCTTGGGTGTGATTCTGAGGAGGGCTGACTGCTGTCATGTCCACACAAACACCACTGTGGCCAAGCCTGGTAGTCCTCTATGGCAGTGGCTTTGCAACCCAACAAAACTGCTTTAAAACAAAAGGTCTTTAAAATATCTTAAATATATTAATATCAGCTGAACTGCAGTAGTAGTCATGTTTGCATTTTCTTTCCAGTTGCGTCCATAGTAGTTAATCTGTCGTTTTGTGGAAAATAACAAAATTAGGCAGATATTTTCACCAAAATACATGCAGTTGTATGTAAATGAAGCAGTAGGTTCTTCTTTTTAAAGTCTGTTTTAACTGTTATATGATTAGTTACAATTAGCATTGTGTTTGACAGCCACAGCTGTACAATATTCTACCATTTTACATTTAACTTATTGTGCACCAAAACATTCAAAGCTTTATATACAGTAAATTAAGCATACTGTATCCTATGATGGCTGTTGTTTCTGAATTGTTTTGTCTTTTCCAGCACTGAGAAGCAGCTTGATTATTGAGCACCTGGTTCTGTTTTACACCGCCTACTCAGAGATTCTTTCTGAAATGAATACAGTCACTTTATAAGTCCTGGGAACCCCACATGGCCATAAGATGTAAATACAGTGTTAGTGGGAAAATGGTTTGATAAGGGACAAGTCAAGCCACCTGTTCAGACTACCCAATGAACACAACACGTGGCAGTGGAGAGCATGGATTTCTGCTATGGGCGGGACGCAAGGGCCTGAAAAAAGGGGTGTTCTGTTTTGGAAAGCAGGAACTGTCTGGTCATCTCAGGTGTGCTTGTACACTCGGATTACACTCTGATCAGCAGTGTGATCAGGTTCCCCCTCACTCTTTTCCCTTTATCTAAGGGAAAATAAATACGGCAAGAAAACAACAAAAACAACATGAGGCCTGGCCAGTGGTGACACAGCAGGTTTCTTGTATCTTTTTGATCAGTCTCCCAGTGTTGATGACAACAAAAGGGTCATTCCTGTTACAGTGGGTATAGAAAATAATCACTCCCCTTTAAAATAAACACATGTTGTTGCTTTGCAGCCTGAAATTAAGATGGACACAGTTTTTGTTTTATCCAGCTGTATTTACTCAGTGCAACTTAGAACATCCAAGTGAAAGATATAACACCAACATGTCGGAAAAAAAATATTTTGCTTTAATTACAGCCTTTAGTCTGTTGGGACCTGTCTCTGTCTCTACTAACTTTGCACATCTAGACTTTGCAATATTTGCCCACTCTTCTTTGCAGAACTGCTCAAGTTCAGTTAAAATTGATGGTGACCGTTTGTGGACTGCAGTCTTCCAGTCATTCCAAAGATTGTCAATGGGGTTTAAGTCTGGGCTCTGACTAGGCCATGCAAGGACATTCACCTTTTTCTCCTTCAACCACTGTGTGCTCAGTTTTAATGACAACAAAAGGGTCATTCCTGTTACAGTGGGTATAGAAAATAATCACTCCCCTTTAAAATAAACACATGCTGTTGCTTTGCAGCCTGAAATTAAGATGGACACAGTTTTTGTTTTATCCAGCTGTATTTACTCAGTGCAACTTAGAACATCCAAGTGAAAGATATAACACCAACATGTCGGAAAAAAAATATTTTGCTTTAATTACAGCCTTTAGTCTGTTGGGACCTGTCTCTGTCTCTACTAACTTTGCACATCTAGACTTTGCAATATTTGCCCACTCTTCTTTGCAGAACTGCTCAAGTTCAGTTAAAATTGATGGTGACCGTTTGTGGACTGCAGTCTTCCAGTCATTCCAAAGATTGTCAATGGGGTTTAAGTCTGGGCTCTGACTAGGCCATGCAAGGACATTCACCTTTTTCTCCTTCAACCACTGTGTGCTCAGTTTTGTTGTGTGCTTTGGGTCATTGTCATGTTGGAAGGTAAACCTTCTTCCCATTGACAACCTGACAAGCAGATTTTCCTCAAAAATGTGATGGTATTTTGCCCCATCCATTTTGCCTTCTACCCTGACAAGTGCTCCAGTCCCTGCTGCAGAGAAACACCCCCATAACAGGATATTACCACCTCCATGCTTTACTGTAGCAATGCTGTTATTTGGATGGTGAGCTGTATTGGATTTCCGCCAGGCATATCGTTTGGTGTTGAGGCCAAATAATTAAATTTTAGTCTCATCTGACTCCGAATCTTCAAGGTGTGTTTCGGCAAAGCTCAGTCGTGGCTGTATGTGGCCTTTTTTGAGGAGTGGCTTTTTCTTGCAACCATCCCATACAAGCCACATTTGTGGAGAATTTCTGATATTGTTGTCACATGCACACAATGACCACTCTTTGTCATAAATTCCTGCAGCTGCTTATAGAGTTGCTGTAGGCCTCTTGGTCGCCTCTCTGACCAGTTTCCTCCTGGCTCTTTCATTCAGTTTGGAGTGACCTCCTGATCCAGGGAGGGTCTGTGTTGTACCAAATAACTTCCACTTCTAAATAATAGACTTCACTGTGCTTCTAGGCATTGATAAAGCCTTTGAAATGTTTTTGTATCCATCTCCTGATTTGTGCCTGCCCACAACTTTATCCCGGAGATATTTTGTCAGTGCCTTGCCATCCATAGTTGATTGTTTGCTTCACTTGCACTACCAAGGACTGAAATGCTCCAGGAAAGCTCTTTTCATGCTGAGCTAGTCAGAATGACCAGAGCTGATCACAGTTGTAAGTCAAATAGCTTTGTGTGCTATTGAGAATGTGATTAGCTACACCTGATTAAGTTTACAAGTAAGTTTTAGGAGGGAGGTGATCCTTTTTCTACCTCAGTGATTCAGGTTTTTTATTTATTTATTTCCGAAATGTTGGTGTTATATCTTTCACTTGGATGTTATAAGTTGCACTGAGCAGCTGGATAAAACAAAGAATGGTAGTTTTTTGTTTTGTAAGATTGGCTAATTAGTTAGTACTGTAGTATATAGCGTATCATATAGAGTGCTACAGTGATGATATATTTATTGTAGTCCAACCTGGAAGTTAGCATCACCCTGGTTCCCAGTAGGATTTTTCCAATCTCTGCAGCCCCATTTAGCCACATGTTAACATGTTAGCCTTTTTCAAATAATTAAATAAATACATAAATAATAAATTACTGAAGTTATCTTCTGTTGTAGAAGCATTTATCATTACAGGCATTTAACCAAAAGTCCATACAAAAACCCACTGACTTCAACACGATGGATCCAGTAGTATTAAATGCTAGTTTTTGAGTTTTGGCCTACAAAAATACATCATCTATGCAACTCTCTATTGGAGTAGCAGTTAATTAGGGAGGTGGAGTCGGGTGATTTATTGAGCGGTCAACAGTGTAGCGGCAGTAGCAGGCCTCGTTGTGTAAAGACCAAGCTTCTCTAAAGACCCGCAACTCTACCTGCGTGACTCCACCAAGCAATGTCAACATGCAGCTTGCTAGTCTAAATCTCCTTTTATTTTCTCTCTTAATACTCTCTTATTCCCTGTCATGTTCTTGGCATGTGCTCTCATTACATCCCTGTTGTATACCAAAGATAGAAGTCTAAACGTGTCTGCACACAAACCGTTGCCCTCACTATGGCCTGTCAGTTGGACAGCAACAAAGCCGACGTCATACCTGTTTTTACCCATCAGTCAGAAGTCAAAATTTTGCCTTTGACTAAAACCGCAAACAACTCTGCGAGTCTTTCAGCGCTCACTACCAAGTTTATCTTCTCACCCACATAGGCAGGGTGGTAGACAGTTTCCATTTCCATCAATTTCCAAGACATTTCCATCAATTTCCAAATTCACAACCAAGCCTCTGCAGATGATCCATATGATTACTTAATTATGAGCAAATAAAACTATGACTTGGAGAAAAAGAAGTGCATACGAGAACATGAAAGTGCACTACATACAGTAGCAGGAAAGAACCAGATGGTGCATGATATAGTAGCTGCCATCAACACATGAACTGACGCACTCATAGGCACATCCTTAGCCTTTCTTTCTTTACAAGTAGTAGAGTTGATTAACTGTTAAAAAGTGTCAGTCAGCAGGTTCTGAAGATGGTGCTCATCTAATAATAAATTCAACACCTCATAGGAGCTCATTATATTAAACACAACCCAGGGTTTTGATCTCACATCTTCATAGAGACATAAATGGGGGACAAAGGGGGGTATTCTGACCTGGTCAGCCACGGCACGGGCAAATTTTAGTCTCATCTGACTCCGAATCTTCAAGGTGTGTTTCGGCAAAGCTCAGTCGTGGCTGTATGTGGCCTTTTTTGAGGAGTGGCTTTTTCTTGCAACCATCCCATACAAGCCACATTTGTGGAGAATTTCTGATATTGTTGTCACATGCACACAATGACCACTCTTTGTCATAAATTCCTGCAGCTGCTTATAGAGTTGCTGTAGGCCTCTTGGTCGCCTCTCTGACCAGTTTCCTCCTGGCTCTTTCATTCAGTTTGGAGTGACCTCCTGATCCAGGGAGGGTCTGTGTTGTACCAAATAACTTCCACTTCTAAATAATAGACTTCACTGTGCTTCTAGGCATTGATAAAGCCTTTGAAATGTTTTTGTATCCATCTCCTGATTTGTGCCTGCCCACAACTTTATCCCGGAGATATTTTGACAGTGCCTTGCCATCCATAGTTGATTGTTTGCTTCAGTTGCACTACCAAGGACTGAAATGCTCCAGGAAAGCTCTTTTCATGCTGAGCTAGTCAGAATGACCAGAGCTGATCACAGTTGTAAGTCAAATAGCTTTGTGTGCTATTGAGAATGTGATTAGCTACACCTGATTAAGTTTACAAGTAAGTTTTAGGAGGGAGGTGATCCTTTTTCTACCTCAGTGATTCAGGTTTTTTATTTATTTATTTCCGAAATGTTGGTGTTATATCTTTCACTTGGATGTTATAAGTTGCACTGAGCAGCTGGATAAAACAAAGAATGGTAGTTTTTTGTTTTGTAAGATTGGCTAATTAGTTAGTACTGTAGTATATAGCGTATCATATAGAGTGCTACAGTGATGATATATTTCTTGTAGTCCAACCTGGAAGTTAGCATCACCCTGGTTCCCAGTAGGATTTTTCCAATCTCTGCAGCCCCATTTAGCCACATGTTAACATGTTAGCCTTTTTCAAATAATTAAATAAATAATAAATTACTGAAGTTATCTTCTGTTGTAGAAGCATTTATCATTACAGGCATTTAACCAAAAGTCCATACAAAAACCCACTGACTTCAACACGATGGATCCAGTAGTATTAAATGCTAGTTTTTGAGTTTTGGCCTACAAAAATACATCATCTATGCAACTCTCTATTGGAGTAGCAGTTAATTAGGGAGGTGGAGTCGGGTGATTTATTGAGCGGTCAACAGTGTAGCGGCAGTAGCAGGCCTCGTTGTGTAAAGACCAAGCTTCTCTAAAGACCCGCAACGTTTTTATTTATTTATTTCCGAAATGTTGGTGTTATATCTTTCACTTGGATGTTATAAGTTGCACTGAGCAGCTGGATAAAACAAAGAATGGTAGTTTTTTGTTTTGTAAGATTGGCTAATTAGTTAGTACTGTAGTATATAGCGTATCATATAGAGTGCTACAGTGATGATATATTTATTGTAGTCCAACCTGGAAGTTAGCATCACCCTGGTTCCCAGTAGGATTTTTCCAATCTCTGCAGCCCCATTTAGCCACATGTTAACATGTTAGCCTTTTTCAAATAATTAAATAAATACATAAATAATAAATTACTGAAGTTATCTTCTGTTGTAGAAGCATTTATCATTACAGGCATTTAACCAAAAGTCCATACAAAAACCCACTGACTTCAACACGATGGATCCAGTAGTATTAAATGCTAGTTTTTGAGTTTTGGCCTACAAAAATACATCATCTATGCAACTCTCTATTGGAGTAGCAGTTAATTAGGGAGGTGGAGTCGGGTGATTTATTGAGCGGTCAACAGTGTAGCGGCAGTAGCAGGCCTCGTTGTGTAAAGACCAAGCTTCTCTAAAGACCCGCAACTCTACCTGCGTGACTCCACCAAGCAATGTCAACATGCAGCTTGCTAGTCTAAATCTCCTTTTATTTTCTCTCTTAATACTCTCTTATTCCCTGTCATGTTCTTGGCATGTGCTCTCATTACATCCCTGTTGTATACCAAAGATAGAAGTCTAAACGTGTCTGCACACAAACCGTTGCCCTCACTATGGCCTGTCAGTTGGACAGCAACAAAGCCGACGTCATACCTGTTTTTACCCATCAGTCAGAAGTCAAAATTTTGCCTTTGACTAAAACCGCAAACAACTCTGCGAGTCTTTCAGCGCTCACTACCAAGTTTATCTTCTCACCCACATAGGCAGGGTGGTAGACAGTTTCCATTTCCATCAATTTCCAAGACATTTCCATCAATTTCCAAATTCACAACCAAGCCTCTGCAGATGATCCATATGATTACTTAATTATGAGCAAATAAAACTATGACTTGGAGAAAAAGAAGTGCATACGAGAACATGAAAGTGCACTACATACAGTAGCAGGAAAGAACCAGATGGTGCATGATATAGTAGCTGCCATCAACACATGAACTGACGCACTCATAGGCACATCCTTAGCCTTTCTTTCTTTACAAGTAGTAGAGTTGATTAACTGTTAAAAAGTGTCAGTCAGCAGGTTCTGAAGATGGTGCTCATCTAATAATAAATTCAACACCTCATAGGAGCTCATTATATTAAACACAACCCAGGGTTTTGATCTCACATCTTCATAGAGACATAAATGGGGGACAAAGGGGGGTATTCTGACCTGGTCAGCCACGGCACGGGCAAGCTTGTCCATTCTGGATCCGGCTTCCGCGATTTTCTTTGCAGCATTGATCACATCAGAGGAATTCTTCAGAGGGCCTTTGCCTCTGCAATATCACAAAAACCCAGATTGTTACTCTATTAGCTGATTCCTCAAAACGGGCAGAACACAAGCTGCACAGAAAGCAAGGAACCCCCCAACATATTCTAGCAAATCCCAAATCAGAAGAAACTAAAGAAACACAAGCAGCTACACTCTCAGAAAAAAAGTTCATATTAGTACTTTAAAGGTACATACAGTGGGTACGGAAAGTATTCAGACCCCCTTAAATTTTTCACTCTTTGTTATATTGCAGCCATTTGCTAAAATCATTTAAGTTAATTTTTTTTCTTCATTAATGTACACACAGCACCCCATATTGACAGAAAAACACAGAATTGTTGAGATTTTTGCAGATTTATTAAAAAAGAAAAACTGAAATATCACATGGTCCTAAGTATTCAGACCCTTTGCTCAGTATTTAGTAGAAGCACCCTTTTGATCTAATACAGCCATGAGTCTTTTTGGGAAAGATGCAACAAGTTTTTCACACCTGGATTTGGGGATCCTCTGCCATGCCTCCTTGCAGATCCTCTCCAGTTCGGTCAGGTTGGACCTTTATATTAATACCTTTTGAAAGGGATAGAGAGTGTGGAGCAAAAAAAAAACTATTAGAATAATGAATATGTAATTTATCACAAAAAGAACCCTTGAGGTTGATACAAGAACCCTCTGCATTTATATTGTTATCTATCTAAATGTTTGCAGCATTCTTGATGTTGACATGTGAATGGATGTACCTAGTGAAGTCAGTCATCTCCATCATGATCATACACATCTGTTTGGCCAGCACGATGATGTCATTTCCGTTGTCGTCCCACTTGGCGACCTCTGCGTCCAGCTTGCTCTTTTCCTGCCTGAAGCTCTCCACCTGTTCGGCAATCTTGGCCTTCTCTTCCTGAGGCAGCTGAGCCATGATAGCCTATGGGGGGCAGGGGTGTGAAGTAACGAATTACAAATACTCACGTTACAGTAATTAAGTAGTTTTTATCAGTAATTGTACTTTTTTGAGTAGTTTAAAAATTGTGTACTTTTACTTGAGTACATTTTAAGTGATGTATCGGTACTTTTACTCCGCTATTTTCCTCCGTTTGTGGTCGTTACATGCTTATTTTAATTAATTTTTTATCCATCAACGTGATTGGATAGATAGTAATAGGTCTCATGACTTTGGTCAAATCAAATTGTGCATGGAAAACTTTAACCTCCAACTGTTTATCATGGCTGCTGGAAGCGCATTCTTCAAGCATCAATTCTGTCGCATCTTCCTCTAACTTAAGTTTCAGATTTCTGCTTACTAAATTATCTGTATATATGCTTGCCTATCTACACGGCCTGAAATTTGGTGTGAGGCTGCGTGTATTGCGTATAGTGTTATCTCCCGCAAGTGCCACGTTCGGTAAATTCCCACTCACTTATAAAACGCTCGATCTGTGGTGGATGAGTAGATACCCCCTGACAATGTAAAGCGCTTTGAGTGCCTAGAAAAGCGCTATATAAATGTAATGAATTATTATTATTATTATCTGCGCTGCCTCGTCTCTCTCTCGCGTGCGTTCTGCAGCAGTCACTTGGATAAGTCGTTGTTGCTTGTTGAACTTGTTGACTTTTGATGAGTTTGAGCGAGTGATGCGGGCTGTGAAAAAGTGTGTTGGAAACACAAATTGAGAACCAATCTGCCCCTTATTTATGACCCGTGGCGTTAATATACTGCATCTGTGCCAGCGCGTGATGTAATAAAACTGCAGCTCATTAATAAACAGGTTTTTTTTATATCCATTTTATACAATCCGCCTTCATTTAGCAAGTGCACTCGCCAATTCAGTCGCATCTTCCTCTAACTTAATATGTTAAGGTAAATATCGGATTTCTGCTTACTAAATTATTGTATATATGCTTGCCTATCTACACGGCCTGCAATTTGGTGTGAGGTTGCAGGTATTGCATTTCACGAGTTCACACTTTCTTATAATTAACAAAGGGTTATGCGTATTTGGCGTGCTGTCCAGGGAGAGGGCTCCGAGCTCGGCAAGACTCCCGAGCCCGGGGCAACCCCCCCCCCGTCCGGGGAGAGGGGTCCGAGCTCGGTGTTCAGCCCGGCCCAAAAAGCGCTCCCCCCGAGTGCTTCTCCCCGTGCTGGGGTAGAAACTATGCTGAAGGTGCGAGGTCGGGGTGGCGGAGGGATGCTGAAAGTCGAGAGATAACGAAGGTAGGGCGTACTTGGTTATTTATGGGAGTTTTCTCTTGTGCTGATTGGATAAATGGTGTAATCACTAATGATGAACTGGCCGTGTTAATTATCTGTGCGTGCTCCTCCCGAAATTTGTTTGTAAACATCACATAGTGTTAACTCCCGCTAGTGCCACGTTCGGTAAATTCCCACTCACTTATAAGACACGCGATCTGCGCTGCCTCGTCTCTCTCTCGTGTGCGTTCTGCAGCAGTCACTTGGATAAGTCTTTGTTGCTTTTTGACTTTTGATGAGTTTGAGCGCATGATGCGTGCTGTGAAAAAGTGTGTTGGAAACACAAATTGAGGACCAATTTGCACCTTATTGATGACCCGTGGCGTTAATATACTGCATCTGTGCCAGCGTGTGATGTAATAAAACTGCAGCTCGTTGATAAACTTTTTTTTAAAAATCCATTTTATACAATCCGCCTTCAATTAGCAAGTGCACTCGCGCATAAACAATTCTCAATTTCAACACTTTTTATATATTTGTTCAGTACTCTTTCCACCACTGATGGGGGGTAGTGATAAGACACAAGATAAAGATCAATTAGACATGTCACAAAAGTTTTTTTTGCAACACATGCCCTTGTTTCTGGTTAAAAGTTTGAAAAGAAAGTACCCTCCATTTAGGTTGACTTGGTTTAACCCCACTGAAAGGCCTCTGTATAAGGTTTTGAAACTTAACACTTAATCATAAGACCTTCTGGAACCCCATGACATCTCATGCTCATAAAGAGAAAATCCATTCTCTTTTCTTTCCCCCTCTCCTTGTCAAGGAATAAACTCTCGCTCTGTAGCGATTCTGAGCCAGTCCGAAAGGGCATTAATCTATCTGCAAGGTCACAGGCACCGTTAAGGCGCAGTATTATTTGTGAGATAAATGTATAATTACCTCACTTCTTACATCAGTCAATTAATTATGCATTTGTTCAACATTCTGTCAGAGCGGACGGACCAAACCAAAGCAGGGGACTCTGGATGCCATCAAGTGTGTGATTACCGAGGAAGGTTTCGCAAAAGTCTGTGCCGTCAGATTATCTTTTCCGCAGTTTTGTCTGAATTTAGTGGAGATACGCCATCATAGCCAAAGGATGTCATAACATAAGAGCTAATTAAGAGCCAGCTGCTCATTTAAGATTTGTAGCTTTTTGCTTGTTTATTTAACAAGCAATTACACACTAAAAAGAAAAGAATTCCTCTGAGAAAATGTGATTAAAATATGAATATGATTTCTTTTTCAGATAGTGTGCACTCCTGGGCATTTCAAATGGAGGGCTGTTGCAACGGTGGCTGTGTCTGAAAAAATATAAGGATAAGCATGTTTTTGCTGCATAAATGTCCCATATAACTGTGCAATGGCATCTGAAAAAGCGGTTGAAAGGATTATATTGTAATTGCTTCCTTGGTTATGACTAAAGTTCAAATTTAAAATTTAAGGTTGTCTCGTTTTAGCTTGGAATTGATTACCGCACTGTTTTACCACCTGCGGATCCAGTCAGAAACATACCCATCCCAAGAGCCAATCAGCTCTTTACATACCTTTGAAGCAGCCAATCAGCATTAAAGAGCTGCTGCTTGGTTAATCCCAACTCCTCTGATCCTAAAAGTGGATGTGATGTATGGAAGGAAGGTAAATAGAAGGAAGAGAGCACATTTTTTCCTCTTGCCTTGCTCAGAATTCACTTATCCCAAATCTCTCTGGCTCCTAACCGATAACAAGAGAGGGTGCAGGCAGCTTAATGCACCAACAAATCCTTCCCCATACGCACCGGTGCCGATTCATTCAACACACTCATATTGTGTGCTGAATGTCTGCGCACTTCTGGATTAGAAATCCTTCAAAAAAGCTTTTTAATTTTTCTCATTTGAAATAAAGTGGCCTAGATACCGAAGTTCAGTTTTATGGCTGACCTGTCAGCACTGTTATCCTATCATGGAGCTAAGAGATAGAGCAGCATTTTCTATGTGTCTGTCTGAAAGTGTGAGTCGGTGAACAAATGGCTGCTCTTATTTCTCTCTTATGAGAACTCAAAATCCATAAAACTTAAAGTCACAGACTATATCAATATAATAGTAGTGATGCATATTTGATTTGCAAAAACACATTCACTCAATGTAACATTCAGCATCTATGCTTAAGATGCTACTTGAACTCCACTGAACCGAGTTTACTACCGAGCAAAATGTTTTTCCACAGTCATTTTTTTTCTAGTTCTTTACAAATGATAATTTCCTCTCATTCATGGAAGATAATTTCTTCTCAAGAGTAATTGGTATCAAACTGAGTGATGGTGTGTATTTGCGTGTGAAAGTCAGTGGTACTCCACGGCTACATACTTATATTCTTGTAATGTCTCATAAGTAGCCTACTGTGCACTATTCACACATACACTAATGTGGATTAAGCCTCAAACCCCAGTGAGCTCTGCCGTCAAATGCCGGCTGACACAGGCACACTAAGGGGGTGACATTGCCAGAAGTCTCATTTGCAATCTTATTTTAACTACTATACAGTTTCTGCAGAGAGAGTTTACAAAACTTGGACCAAAATGATTCTTGTATATTTTGTGTGAAGCTATGTTAAATATTGTAGTCTTTGTTTCAAAACCTACATTCCAAAATGGAACCTTATAAGTGACTGAACATTCTACATTAGCAGCAACTCGATTGGGAGCAATTTGATGTGCAATGTAGATTTGACTCCCAATTTATTTATACAAAATTAGCTGTTAGCATTTTGCTAAACTAAAAGGTAAAAAATGCCATTTTTACACTTCTTTTCTACCTTGCTGTAGTGAAGGGATACAAATTAAATTTCTCTTGCTTAGTCCACCATCTTGGATGTGTATTATAAGATTTCCTTCTTCGATAAGGATACTTGTGCTGCCTTAGAATCTGTGTTTTTGCTTTGAGAGCATACATGCCTTAAAATGCCCTTATGTAGGAATTTTCACAGTTACAGTCTATTCAGAGAGTTTTTATGAAACTGGGACCTGAAATGTTCATATATGGAGGACTTGAACATACGCGTTTGCTCCCCTGCTATGTTAAATATTGAAAAAAAATAAATAGATAAAGATGTTAGATGCCATGTGACAGACCTGATGTAAAGTGTAATCGTCACAGGATGTGAATTTTATACGTTGTAACTGCAGTGTTGAGTATTGAGGGAAGAAAATCTACAAAAAAACGTTCACACTATCATTTGCAGCAGAGGCTAAATAATGTTTCATTATTGAAAAAGTGAAAGACACATTGTTGTGTGCATGCACTTGAGTGACTGGCCCTCTTGTTATTCTGAGACTAGATGTAATTTTACAGCAGACACAATCAGTGGAGTGATAAGTGTTTTGTATTGTGAAAGTAAACCTGCTGGAAATGACAGCAGGAACAGGAGATGCTCATGTGTCACGTAGGAGTCACTCACCCTTGCGCTCTGTCCAGCAATAAGTTGGTCATCTTCTGTCTGGACGCTGGTGCGGCTACGGGCGTCATAGTCTTCTTGTTCAAAGTCAGAATCATCTTCCAACTCTTCTGGAGTCTGGAAAAGAGAAAGAAAAAAAGACCATTCTTGTCACACCTTTGTGATGTTTCACTGAAAAAATAAATACTTGAAGAAATAAAAAAACATAAAAAGTGTATTTTTCTTATTATTTGTTGGAAAAGAGCAATCAGTAGGTTATTTAAAATTCACATTTTGCACATACTGGGTTTGGGATGACAGAGTGAGTACAGTGAGTGATACATTTTTGAGTGAGCTATTCCTTTTAAGGTTTCCTATATTTAATTTTTACTTTCAGTTTCAAAACTGGTCTGGAGAGACATTAACTTGTGGGTGTTGCCACGCAATGAGGGGCAAAAGACCTCTGATCCAACATAAAGACGGGTCAACCATTAAACCAGTCAAATCTCACTAAATAATTCATTCGTCCCACAGTTTGAGTTACAAGTGACTTGCATCATTGTTCTTCAATTCCCTTTTGGCTTTCTTGTTCCCTCTTAAAATGGGATCAAACAATATGTGAAGGGGGAAAAAGCCTGTAGGTTTTTCGGGGTTTAGATGTGATCTGTTTTCTTGTATTCTGCCTACCAGTAGTTTCAACATCAGTCCCACCAACTGCCTAATGAGCAAATTGGAGACAAAGAAAAGACAGTGTATCTTGACAGCCGCCACTGTTTCAGACACTCTGAGCGGCAGTGGCACTAACTACCGATTGAGATATACTATAGATCGAATCAGCTAAGTAACTTACTGCAAACTGGCAAAGTGTTCTTTGTTACGTGTTTTAATGGAGATCCCAGTGGATAGAGATTTCACATAGACATACAAGTAGGAATGTACATTTGTGCACAAAACCATCTTGATTTGATTCGCGGGATACAATCCTTGACAAATAACTGTGGAATTTTCATTTCACTTCTACTCTGGGAGCAGTACTATTTTCAAACCTTAAAAGCAGCCACTATCACATGGCGATTGCAATGGCTTTTCTAGGCAGCAGAAAGCATACACACTCTGTATGATTTATCTTTGTGATTCATTTTTGGGGTGGGGGGTGGTTTGGAGAATCAATATACAAGTAAATATAAGTAGGATCTCTATTTACAATTATCACTCTGTTCCAAGCCATCTCCAAGCTCAGCTTGACGTTATTTACTGACAACACACTGTTCAATATTACTTGATATTCCCACGGAAGAAGTGTGCATCTTAGAAAATGTATTTTTGCAACAAAAAGACAAGTGTTTATTAGTCATATTGAACCAAAAACATTATTGGTAAATAGAATATACACAACAGGCAAAGGCATAAACAAAATAACTTATTCTTATTGTATACCAAGGACATGCTGAATACCACATAAATAATAACTTGTAGCATTAATTCATAATCTAGTGCATCTACTTGTTATCTTCTATGTCAGGGGGTTTCAAACGTTACAGACCCAGGGACCCCCAATAGAAAAAGCTAGATTTTTCTAGAAACACTTGTAACTTTCGTTAACAATATTAAGTTATATTACATTACTACATTACATCAGGGGTTTTCAAACTGGGGTTAAGGAAACTCCCAAGAGGGGATACTATTACAAAATGATTCGTTTTAGGGGTATTTTATTATAAACCTGAAGATAAACATTTTCAATTCAAGTAAATACTCTCAAGATTATATTTTAGTAATTTGCTTTGGCTTTATTACAGTGACAATATAAAAGCCAATAATTTCGTTTTTGAAATATGTTTTCTTTACAATATCACTCTCACTACTTTTTCACAGAGTATAACATATTCTTTATATTGGATCAGTATATTTAGGGGTCCCTGGCATCAAAAGCCCTGCATTACATAATGCTTAACAGTCCATTAGTTAATGTTCACTCAATAATTTGACAATTAAAAGACAATTTGAGTTTTATATATCCACAGATCCCCTGGAATATGTTTGTAGACCTCTCAGTTGAAAACCCTGGCTCTGTATGATGAAGTCATAATCTGCAACATTATTTTCACATGAAATGTGTTTAATGTGTTGTTTTGTTATTTATCACACAAACCACTTGGGCAATAAGCACAGTGAAATCCCTGCTTGTGAATAGCAAGGACCTTGTGTGGTCCACTAACTTATACGATACTCACTCTTATCATAAGGACTGCTTTCCTGATGTCACGCACTCCGTCGTAAACGAGACGAGAGGCGTCAATGAACTCGTTCTCTTCAAATGGCTGCGGGGGGCTGGTGCTAAGAGCCTCGATGGCGACCTCAACCTGCTCTGCAAAGCGTGGCATCACTGGTGAAAAAGAAGGACGCAGAGAATTGAGTTGAGCAAGAGGCTGAGAGAAAGCAAAAACAGAAAGACAGATACACAGAAAAACATTTTTGAAAAAAAGGGATTACATACATCCCTCAAAAGCCTGCATTCCCCTCAGGTGCCAAACATGTCAGAGAGAAGATATAGTGAAAGGTGAGAAAAATTGAGAATATGTGATCTTAAGAAGCTAAGTGTCGAAATTCAGGCAGGCCCATCTATTTCTGCCGTCTCCTCCCTCTCAGTCAGGCCCGAGGACATGGAGCAAGACGAGAAAATGTCACCCTGAAAATAAGTGGAAGGGGCGCCCTATGTTTGCCAATTAACCACTTCACCTTGCTGGGAACATATGACTATCATTGCTAGACACTAATAATATAATAATAATAATTACGTCACTCTCTACCCTCCTTCAATTTACCGTCTTGTTCCTCAGTAATGGGCACTAAACGCTGGCTGCAATAAGGGATTGTTTGACGAAGACAAGAGTCGAGTACGAACAATGTTGACAGACATTGATTGAGTGCAGCTAGAGGGTTGGGAAAGGTCTACTAATGTGACATCAGTTTGATCTGTTTTCATGATGAGCCGTGTTTCAACATTTACACTGACAAAATACTTGTAAGTAAATTTAATTTATGTGAAATGTCAATATAAAATGTTAATATCATTTTAGAGGGCTCCGACAACCTTATTGTGAATCCTAAGCTTTAAACCTTGATGACTCCAGAGTAAATAATAGAGCTGATGATTTAATAACTGGACTGCACAAATCAAGTGCGTTCCTTTGTGCTCCCCGGCCCACTGATTTACACTCAACCTCCAGACCTGACACTGAATGACCTGCCTGTATACTCGATGAGGAAGGGGGAAATATCCGAAGTCTTGCGTTTCCATGGCAATGTCACTGGTGGAGGGAGACCGTATTGTGATCTAACCCTGACATCAAGTCACACTCATATCAATGCCAAGGACCACTTGGTGGATGATGAAAAAAAGATGGGCACAGTAAAAAGCCTCGTATTAAACCCTTGAGCAAGCTCCAAAGTGATGCTCTTAAAATATTCAACAAATGTATCAAGGAGGGGGAGGTCTCTAGTTTTTTAAAAGCCAGGAACTAGGATATTATGACCCAAGGAACACTTCTCCGTGGGGAAGGTGGGTCTTATGAGGACACTACTGTGACAAGAAAATTCTAGAGTGCTGACTTCAGCCATCTAACCAAATCAAAGCCCAGAGAGCCTTTCACAATAATAGCGGATGCAGATCTCCAGGGAAAAATTGGTCTTGTGATTTTTCATGATGGTTTTGATTACAGGCATCTGACTTGAGATTAACTTTAAAAGGGGACCAGTATAAGATCCTCTCTGACAGCCATTTTGCCTATTTGCCTTCTTAAATGGACAAGTTCAGATTTGAATTTCAAATGAACACATACTTTAAGAAATACAAAATTATGCAAAACATTCAAAAAGCTGCGGTAAAGGCTCTTTATTTGATTTCCTTTCTTCTTTCTAACCCCATCTTGCTTTAACACATATTTAATTCATTTTAATCCACTTATTGGAGAGGCGTAAAATGAGCTTAGGGGAATTTTGCTGTGACTTTTAAATAGAAATATTTCAAGCCATACTTCAAGCCATTAATGAATAAAGTTGCTGCTAGTGAGGAGCAAATTTAACTCAGACCAGTGAGAAATGATGAAAGGAGCTAATAAAAACCATGTTGGAAGGGATTGTTTTCTTTAAGTGTTTAACTCCAGATAAAGCAAGCAAGCAGTCAGATCTGTTCTATGAGCCTTCAAATGGTGTTTTCCGATATTGCAAAATGTTGAGGTGATTTGTATGATGCATGCTCAAACTGGGTTTTTCTGTTTGAGAGGCTGAGGTCAGACCAGCCTAATGGGCTCAAAATGAAATAGTTGAAAAAACAATGAGACATTCCTAATGCTAATAGGTCTTACAACACACTGAAAGTAATTTGAAATGGAGAAGGACAACAATGAGGTCACTTGTACTTTGGTTTCACTTACATTTTGGTCCTTAGGCTGTAGAATTAGTTAGCACTGCCCTTTCTTTAGGATCTGCATTTGTTCTTATGTTTTCTTTTTCAATAACAAAATACTGGACTCATTGTAGTAGGCAGGCACTGACTAATTCTATTATCCTTGTTTCTGCAAGCGCTGCCTCCTGTGTCTAACCAAGCAGACACTTGGGTCGTGACATGCTGAGGAAAAAGTTTTTGTGGGGTCATTTGGCTGTATGAAATTATTTCTTTTTTTGGTACTTGAGCAAACATGGCCTTCAACCTGTCAGTGAAACATTATATTTGCCATAAAAATCATGTGCGAGTCTGTGTGTGTGTTAGACGGAGGGCAGTGATTAGGTGGCCATATTTCATCTCTGCATGGTCACCCTTTGGCATGAGCCCTACTCACTCTGCCATACTCCATGACAGTATTGCTACTGCTGCCTTCTACTTGGCACTATTACATCAGCCATATTTCTAATGTTTAATCTACTGGGAGCCTGAGCATAACCTTAATAATGAGGTAATTTTTCCCGCATGAAGATTAGTTTGGATCGGGAAGAGGATGGAAAGGATAAAGAGAGAGGGGAAAGTCATCACAGCTGTGCTATTAGACTATTGATTTCCAAGCTCAAGGACACGATTCGAGATTTGTGAGCACTATGGGCTGAAGGTCCTTTAGCGGTGTATCTTTACAGACTTCGGACCAGCTGCACTTCTGTTATATGTACACTTGCTTGGGGGGAAAAACAGGATAAAGTTTATGTTCTAATTAGGCTCAAATATGTCCATCTGCCGATAAGGAACTAAACCAAAAAGTTGAAGAAATTGATAAGAAAGTGCCAGACACGGTTGGAAATCAAACAGCTAGTCTTTACTAACTTAGTAGTTCATTGGATTTATAGCCTGACCTTGAGTTGTGAGTGATTCAAACTAAGACAAAAAAAACACAAAACACAAAACACAAAACTACAGAGCAGTACCTGCTGTTTTACTTCAGTTGCCCACTGGAACTGTATACTACACCTGTACATTTTCTCCATTATTCAGCTGATTAAAGCCACTTAGTTGAGTGGCAAACATCTTAATTAAATGGAAAACACATTCAGATGATATTCACTTCAAATATGCTAATTGGCTAAGCCCCCACCCCAACGCTATGTCTGGCCTAAACCTGCAAACTTTTGAAATTTTGCATGCCACGTCTTGTGCAATAATGAAAGGTCTAGAAGAATCAATGCTGCAATGCTTTATAGTCCAATTCCATTAATGCAGTGGCACCAAGGCTGTCACTTAAGTTCACAGGGCATGGGACTAAATTTTTATGGGTGGCCCGCCCTCCCCTGGGCCAAATGAGTAGGCTATATTACAGAGGAACTCAGTGGGACCATCTCATTAAAGGGCATGGAACAACTTCTCCAGTTGCCCCTTTCCCTGACGACAGCCCTGGGTGGCAACAACATCCCAAAACAAAGACAGAAGCAGAGAAAAAGTGAAATCAAATTAAAAGTACCACCTCATCAATGTGAATACAGACAAGATGAGAGCCAGTCTGGGCGTCTAGCCCTTTCACAATTCAATCATCACTCTCAATCGAGCATGCAGATATTTCTCTTGGTTTGCTGAAGCAACTAGCAGAACAGTTTTTTACATTCAAGCTGAGCGAGCATTAACTGTTCAACTTGTGATTTACGGAAAAGAGTGTGCTCTCTTTATATAAAAAAAAGACAAAAGTAGGTAATTTATTTTCAATTTACTGAAGACAGTTATGAAATGCTAGTGTTTGGTCCTCATTAAGAGGTAGGTGAAACAGGGTGAATTAAATATAATGTTTCATACTTTTCAGTGAATAAGAGACATGAAGTACATGACTCATTTTGCAGCAGTGTAACACATATGACCATACGGATCGGATCTGAGTGTAAAGTGATTACTGGCTAAGGTCAAATCACCAGACCACTCATTATCATATCACTTTGACTTAATTTAATGCTGTTTTTGACAGAGAAATCTAAATGCTTCATTTAAATATTCTAGTGATGTGAAGGAACAAAAAAACATTATAAGTGGATGATGAGAAGAACTAGGGAAGATCAATTTGGACACATTCAGCTGGTCAGAAGTCACAAATATTCATTGTTTAATTTGTCCTCACTGTCAAACTAGACGTAATAAAATTATTAAATCAGTAATTTATGATAACAAAAATATTGCAGCATCAACCCTTAAAGCAGGACTCTTATTTTCTTCCTCTCATATTCCGCTCACTCTTCTAAACAAAGCCAGCTGTCAAAATAGTCTAATGTAATGTTTTAGACACAACAAGGGAGGCAGGACAAAGCCCCGCCGCCAGAATAATATTTTGAGTGCTCATTTTCCAGCCAGCCTCCATTTGTTGATTCCAAACAATCGTAGAAGTGCATTTAGACGGAACAACTATATCAAAAAGTGTCAGGCTGAGAGATGTTTCTCACACATTAACACCTAAGACAGCAGCCTTTTTGGTTCCTGTCAGATATTGTGTCTTGAAAGCACTGGGAAGGCTATGCACAAATCTCTGAATTACTTGGTATATTTTGGCCCTCAGCCTTGTCTGTCAGTGTCTAAATTGCCGCCTCTTGAAAGTTGGCATTAGACTGTCCAAGGTGGAGGGGTTGGGGGAAAACAGATGAAAAATGAATGAGCAAAGGATGAGTGCCAGAGGAGGAAACAGGTGGTATCTCCGGCCTCACCATCTTTTCTCGTCTGTCTACCCCCTCTCTCCTCTAACTTCCTTCTTCCAAGAGCTTCCTGGCCTCCTCTGTCCATCTGTCCCCATCACTACCATACATTCATGCCTTAGTGAGCATGAGACAAGATCAGGACCCAGGTGCATGTGTGATCTTTGTTCTTACCTGTCTCAGAGAGGAGCTTGATGGACTCAAGAACACGCTCCGTGTAGACGCCAGGTTCATAGTTCTCCATCTCAGCGTTAATAATGTGTACCACACGAGCGGCTCGGCCCCGGATTGCTCCTGCTGTCCTGTCCAGGGTGTCCACATCCCCCTCCTGCAGGGCGATCACACACTTATTCACATCTTCCAGAATGTGGTTCTCTGCGGATAGATGAGATAAAACAATGAGGAAACATTCAAGTATTACTAAAATGTGACATTTTTTAATGCATTGAAGATTAATTATAAGAAAAAGTTTAAAAAGTAGCAAGTTTAAAACATAAAATACATCCCTTTTTTTAAGTATCCAACTGTTAAAATAATTAGTTTAACGGTCAACATTTTCTGAATGTTAATAAACACCTTTTGGTTATGATTTAGGGGAAAAAAAAAACGAACTAACAAAAAACAGACTGAATATTTTACAGCATTGGCTCTAACCATTCCAACGCTCTTCTAATACTACTTGCAAGACGACAGGCCAGTAGCTTTCAAATAAATAAATAAATAAAATAAAATAAAAATCACTGGGTGGACCTAAACAAACACTGGTTTCTTAATAAGGCTGTTATTTGTGTCCTATTTGTCTCCTGTTTAGATTTGTATAACGCAGTGCAGCTGAAGAATAAATGGTCATGTATGGAGGCTTTTAAATTAAGCATAACATGTTTGAAATTAAATTGAAAAACAAAAAAAACAATTGCAGAATATTTTTTCAAGAGACTCAAGAAAAACATTGGCTATTCAGATGTTGTGGTATAGCACATCTGCACTATTATTAGAAATATGTTCAGCCTTTACACTTTCATTTCCTTTTCTATGTCAAAGTATTGATGATTCCCCTGCCTTTTCAAAACACTCTGTTTACAGCTTTTCTGTGAAAGAAATGACAAACAATTGATTTTTCCAAATAGAAAAAAAAAATCAATTATATCTGAATTTTACAAAAGCACATGCAGGGCTCAACAATAAGGATGGCCCATGGCCAGTGTGAGAGTATTTCAGGCCAGCTGACAAATCTGTCACATGCCATATTGGCCCAGTGCTGCATTGTAAATACGTACTGCATTGACTGATCATATACCTGTATTTTCATGTAAACTAAAACTTTTTTGTCTCTAAACTAAAGGTATGTAGTTATATCCTATACCCTTTCTAGAACTATTTTTAACGGGTCCAGCTCCAGTTCTAGATGTAAGGTGGGCCATAAAACTCTCAAGGTGGACTAGACATTCAAATGTATATGTCAGCTGTCCAAATATTTTCTTTCTGAGGCATACAATAATTTGTTGCTCAAAATGTATATTTCTTTTGTGTCCAGTGAAAATGTTGGCAGGGCAAATGCTAATCTAAAATACTGGCCCAGCCAGGCCAGCATTTAGAAAATAATAATAATTATAATAATTATTATTATTATTATTAAAAAATCCTTATTGTCGAGTCCTGACATGTTTTATTCACAAGTTTCCAGGAAAATATTTCCAAACTGGAATGCACTACACCAGTTTCTGGAAAACAGGCGGCGGGCTGCATACCAATATTGCCTCCTACTTCATTTAATACAGCCCACATAGACCTGTCAGATATACAAAAGATCTGGCCCACAACATCCTGGATTCATTCATTCATTTGCTGTGTATTTAGTATTGACTTTTATTATAGTCCCTGCCTTGAAATCCCTGGCTATAGTACAGTATTAATTCTAATATTTTTTGTGCAGGATCCAGACAGGATATACTACACTTCAGCCAGCAAAATACAGCAAAAAAAGAGAGCCAGTTTCTGCAGAGGTGAGAGGAGAGCCAGTTTCTGCAGAGGTAGGAGGTGAGACTGAGAAGTTAACGTGCCTCGTTTGCAAAGAAAATAACTAAATAATTCAGTTTATACAGTAATTGCAAGATGAAACACTTAAGTTAAACATGATTATCTTGTTCATCAGCAAAAATGGGTGAACTATCAGTGAAAACCTCTTCATACGTATTCACAGCATACATTATATTACATATACTGTATACAGATGACAGGCAAGGCATTTACGATGTTTAGTTTATTTTTAATTTTTAAATGCAGTTCTATATATGAACTATAAAAAACCATATGTATGTTTGAGTCCAATGCTCAAGTGAAACTACACTGAAACAATAACTGGGACCAAGTGTATGTCCATTGTAAATTCAATAATCTTTTTCATGAATGCAGTGTGAATACAGCAATACAGTGTGAACACGGTTTCAAAGCAAGGCTACACATGCAAAGGGTCATAAATGTTCATATTTATGTTGAATTATATGGCCATTTACATTCATATTGGATGGACATTCACATTCAGGATAATGGGATCTTGATGGTGGAGGCAGCTGACATTTTAGAGTGTCCATTATAAAGAGGGATAAATAGACATGGGTATATTCTACGGCTGTACTCAGGGTGGAGAGTTTAGATGTCAAGAGGAGGATGATGGATGTTCACATTAAAAAAAATCTATGCTTCAAAAGCTCTTAAAGCCTTAAAATGTTTTAATAGTATGTATAAAGAAAGGTTGCTTGATTTCCTGTTCACCAGCAGGCAATAAATACTCAATGGAGGTCTCACAAAAACAGAATACACACACATACACACACACACATACATATATATATATCGCTTTTTTATGTGTTTTTTTTTGCCGTATTTTGCTCGCTGAAGTGTAGTATATCCTGTCTGGATCCTGCACAAAAATTATTAGAATTAATACTATACTATAGCTAGGGACTTCAAGGCAGGGACTATAATAAAAGTCAACCTTACCCAGCAAATTAATGAATGAATCCTGGATGTTGTGGGCCAGATCTTTTGTATGTCTGACAGGTCTATGTTGGCTGTATTAAATGAAGTAGGAGGCAATATTGGTATGCAGCCCACCGCCTGTTGTCCAGAAACTGGTGTAACTGGTTCATGTTAAATTAAGAAATATTTCACCATTTAAACATGTATACAATATGTTATATTAAGAACTGTAGTTAATGAAAATAAAGTCAATAATCCTGTAATCCTGTGGTTATGTGGAATATTTTACATTTCGATGATTTAATTATCTGTAAGTACTTGTTCATGTATGAAATGAAAAAGCTTGTATTTTTTTGTAAACAAACAAGAAAGAAAATAAAAGAGCGAATTTGCCTTTGTTCCACATTTCGTGTATGAAGCTTCCCCTCGCCTCACACACACACAAATCAGTAGCCTATCCACCAATTACAGAAGTAGATTATTATGGATAACATGCATATCTAATTTCTTACTTTTATTATAATTTTATATTTAGCCTAAAGATGATAAAGTTATTGACATTATCATTATTTTATGTGCTTTTTCATGAAATACATGCATGCTACAGGTCAGCACAAATGTCTTTCATTGGCGAGTGAGGAGGGGGATCTGCCAAATGAGAATATATATATATATATATATATATATATATATATATATTTTTTTTTTTCATTTTACCTGAAACAGACAAGAAGTCATCCACAGAAGTGATGTCATCAACGGCCTCGGTCAGGATGCGTACTTGCTTCTCCCACTGGTCCTTGAAAACATCCATGTTGTCCTGAGCCACCTTGCTTTGTGGGCGTGCGGCCAAGGTCAGGGCGGCATTGATTACCTGAGAGAAGGAACATGTTATGATTCTGAACCTTACCTAAATCTGAGAAAAACTACAAAAATTATTGTAGAGTCATGCTGCTGACAAATGGTATAAACACGAGTGAAACCAAGTCTTTTTTTTTTAATCTAACCATGTGCATATTTTCAAATCAAATTATGTAGTTGCACATTTTTGCTTTCCTTATAAAACGAACTGTACCAGCGCATCAGTGAGCAGCAGACAGCCCACCCCGATGCTTTTCTCATCTTGGCTGGGGATTTCAACCACGCAGACTTAAAGAGTGTGTTCCCAAAAATACACCAACACATAAACTTTCCAACTTGGGGAAACAACATTCTAGACTTTGTTTACACCACCCAGAAAGGAGCTTACAAGGCTCCCCCCCTCCCCCACCTCGGTGCCTCAGACCACATCACTGTCATGCTAATGCCTGCGTACAGACCACTTGTTAAAGTCACCAAACCAGTTCACAAACAGATACAAGTGTGGCCGGAAGGGTCGTCAGAGGCTCTTCAAGACTGTTTTAACACCACTGACTGGAATATGTTTAAGCAGGCTGCAACATACAATAACCCCACAGGCCTCCAGGTGTACTCAGAGACTGTCACTGCCTACATCACCAAGTGTATTGATGATGTAACAGTCACAAAGACCATCACTATCCGGGCCAACCAGAAGCCGTGGCTAACAGGAGAGGTCTACGGACTCCTGAAGACGCGGAACGCTGCCTTCAGAGCTTGAGATAAGGTGGGCCTGAAGACAGCTAGGGCCAACCTTTCCCGCGGGATCAGAGAGGCAAAAAGACAGTACTCCAGGAGGATAGCCCATCATTTCAGCGACAGCAGAGACAGTCGGAGCCTGTTGCAGGGGATACAGACCATTACGGACTACAAGCACCCACCACGCACCTGTGACAGCCCCATCTCTCTGCTGAACGAACTGAACATCTTCTTTGCTCGCTTTGAGGCACAAAACAGCACCACTGCACAGAAGACTCCACCTCCTCCCGGCGACCAGGTGATGCCTCAGCAGGATCAACGCACGCAAAGCTCCGGGTCCTGACATCATTCCTGGGCGTGCACTGAGAGACTGTGCAGTAGAACTCACTGATGTCTTCACAGATATTTTCAACATCTCGCTAAGCCAGGCTGTTGTCCCCACATGCTTCAAAGCTACCACCATCATTCCAGTCCTGAAGAAGTCGTCTCCATCCTGCTTCAATGACTACCGTCCAGTTGCACTTACCCCCATCCTCATGAAGTGCTATGAACGGCTAGTCATGCACCACATCAAGTCTGCCCTCCCCCCTCCCTGGACCCCTTCCAGTTTGCATATCGGTCCAACCGCTCGACCGATGACGCCATCGCCACTACCATCCACTCAGCCCTCACACGCCTGGACAAAAAAGACTCATACGTCAGAATGCTGTTCATAGACTACAGTTCAGCATTCAACACAATCATCCCTCAACAGCTAACTGGTCCAGCTGGGGCTCAACACTTCGCTGTGCAACTGGCTGTTGGACTTTCTGACTGGAAGACCTCAAGACCTCAGGGTCGGCAGCAACACATCCAGCACCATCACACTGAACACTGGGGCCCCCCAAGGATGTGTGCTGAGCCCCCTCCTCTTCACTCTGCTGACCCACGACTGCACACCGTCACACAACTCCAACCTCCTTATTAAGTTTGCGGATGACACGACTGTAGTGGGTCTCATTAGCAACAGAGACGAGACAAACTATAGGAGCGAGGTGAGCCCCCTGGCCGGGTGGTGCTCTGACAGACTCTCCCACTCCCCCCTCCCTAATACACACACACACTGTCACTTCAATCCATCTAAATAAGCTCTTTTGCACTACAAATCATTATATCTGCACAGTTGTCTACTTCACTGGTTTGCACTCTATCTGCCATGTGCCTTGTGCTGCTTTATATATATTTTTTTACATTTTACCTTATTTGTATATTTGTATAGTTGTATTTTATATTTAATCTGTATATCTGTATTTATGTTCTACTGTTAATGTTATCTGTATGGACCAAGGGTCTGAGAGTAACGCAATTTCAATTATCTGTGTGTATGTGCTGTACATGTGGAAGAACTGACAATAAAGCAGACTTGACTTGACTTGACTTGAAAACTATAAGCCTCAGAATACCTGCTGCTTTTACAACTTTGAGTCACATGACGATTCATAAAATCTTAGATCTAAATTGATAATCGATGGCGCCGACACTGATGGCTGCCTCCGTGGCGTGCTCCACAGTTGTTTTTATGTTTTTGTTAGTTTGTCCTGTCTTTAGTTATATCCCAATCAGTTTCACCAGAGACGAATTGCTGGACATTCGGAAGTACACACCACCCGATATTTCACCGGAAACTCGCTGATCAGATCACAGACACAGAACAACAACACCAGGACTCTGTTTTAATCATTCTCGGGGACTTTAATAAAGCAAATCTCTCCCGTGAACTGCCAAAATACAGACAGCACATCACATGTCCCACCAGAGACAGTAATATATTGGATCACTGTTACACCACAATAAAGACTGCGTATCACTCTGTTCCACGAGCAGCTTTGGGGCTCTCTGATCACTGTTTGGTTCATCTTATACCGTCCTACAGGCAGAAACTGAAATCAGCTAAACCTGTATTAAGGACTGTAAAAGATGAACTAATGAAGCAGAGCAGGATTTAAAAGCTTGTTTTGACCTCACTGATTTGAGTGTTTTTGAAGCTGCTGCCACCGATCTGGACGAGCTAACAGAGACTGTAACATCTTATATCAGTTTCTGTGAATATATGTGCATTCCTACCAGGACTCATCTAAGCTACAACAACGACAAACCGACAAACCATGCAAAACTCAGACAGCTTCGTCAGGTCAAAGAAGATGCTTACAGGAAGGGGGAAAATGTCTTGTATAAATGTATAAACAACA